GGCTTAAGTGCCTGCCTGGCAAGCACAAGGCCCAGAGTTCGAGCCCCAGTACTGCAAACAAAACAAAACAAAAACCAAATAGCTCAGGGGATTAAAGTGCCTGCCAAGCAGGCACGGGGCCCAGGGGCTCAATGGGAGCCTACCATGCTGGCCCTGCCCCAGGGGCGCACTGAGACGGCAATTGAGACTGGGCATGGTGGTGTGCACTAGTAATCCCAGCTCTTTGGAGGCTGTAAACAGGTGGATCACTATGAGTCCAATCTAGTAGTGAGACCCTGAACACCCTATAGATCCTTCCCTAAAAATACAAAAAAAAAAAAAAAAAAAAGATAGTTTTAGGAATAGTGTATTGGTTAGACCCCCCACTGAAACCCATGTAAACTACCTTAGGAAAAGTACATTTGTAAGAAGGATGCTAGGCTATCTCACAGTAAAACCATGCTGTGAGAAGAGTTGTGGCTACATCAAGCCATGACTGCTTGATGAGATGCTGACACAGAAAATGATTGTTCACAGAGCTCGCTTTCTGTCTCTTGCTTTTGCACTTGCCATGTTGACTTTCTGTAGCTACAGACTGAATTCCCCTCCAGTAGCTCCAAAGATTCTACACCTTTTTGACACAATTACCAAAGAAAGGCCCTGCCTCTCTAGATTTCCTGCCAATGTCCCGTTTCTGGGTTTCATTGTGACCCAAGAGCAGAGTCCAAGAATCTATGGACAGAAACCATGATATGAAATCTCTTACAGGAGCCGAACAGTTGGTGCTGGGAGGAGAAATCCTCCAAAGAAGGAAGTGTAGGGGTGGTGAGCAGAGCTCTATGCAGAACCAGTACAGAGACTGTTTCCATGTCACCCTAAGTACGTTAGTGCTCATGGAGGATGTGCATGAGGAACAGAGATGAGTGTTTGTCGTAGGAAATCAATAGACAATTAGGCATTAAAATACAGAGCTATTAATTCTTACTCTAGATTCTTTTCCTAGATTACATTACTCTAGATTACATTCTTTTTAAAGCTCTTGTTCTGATTTCTCTTCTCCTCCTCCTTTTCCTCCTCCTTATCCTCTTCCTTCTCCTTCTCCTTTTGTGTGTACTGGGGATTGAACTCAGGACCTTGCATTTGACAGGCAGGCGTTTATGCCACTGAACTATACCCCTGGCCCTTATTTTGCTTTCTTGTAGCAGTTCTCTTTTCTTTCTTGGAGTCTTGTTGAGAGAAACTGACTCATCAAAAAAATCTTAATACAGCTGCCAGAATATCTGGGGGGCTTTGGAGAGGAGAATATTTTATAAACTCACCAAGAAAGATATTATTTCTATATCTTTCAAACACAAATGCTTTGATTACTTAGAGATTGTAAGAAAGTATAACAGTGATTTTTCTTGGAAAATATATCTATAAAATCAGTTCAAATTCAAAAAGTGGAAAATCATTAGGAACATGACAAAATACGCTCATGGTTTCACTTGCCATGTTGATTTTCTCTAGTCACAGACAGAATTCTTATATTTTGAATAGGGAAGTCTATAAACTGATAAAAATCATAAGGTTCTTTAGCTTTATAAACTTATTTTGATGTAATCTTGAATAAATATTCTTTTTGCTTTGATTCCAAGCTTTCAATAGAAAGCTAATTCATCATTCATTTACCCATTCAGTAAACATTTGCTACCATCTTCTATATCCCTAATGTTGTGCCCATCTTCCCACTGTACTTTGATCTCTTGGTATGTTTTAAGGGTAAGCAGCTGGATTTTTATGAGGTAGTTTTAGAGATACCAACTATTTCCCTTAGTGATCATTTTTCCTCATTCCCTTTTTCAAAATCCTACTCTGGCTCTAAAAGTAGAAAGTTTGAACACCAATAACTCTGACTCCCCCGATAAAGCTGACAGGGTTGGGGAGAAACTATTGGCCAAATACTCTTTCCTGGAGAGCTGGAATAGAAAGATGGAGACATCATGGGTTGGTGATGGTTGCTTGAATTGAAAGACCACAGATATGCTGGCAAGTAAAGCTATTATTTGAGGCAGAAATAATGGGGCACATAGAAACAATTGAGTGAATATAGAAACCATTCCATACAGAAAGGCAGAAACAAAGCACAAGAACCCATGTGGTCTCAGAGACAGATAAGCCAGACAGCATGACCACTTAATGACTATCCAGAGGTCTCCTAATAAATTCTATAGACCCTCACTTGGCTTCTATACAGCTACTTTTTACACCCATACAAAAAAAATCTATTGCTTGAGCTTTCTTTACAGGGATTCCCCACCCCTTTTTGAGCCAAGAATCTGACTATGTAGGACAGGCTGGCCTCACATTTGTAGTCTTCCTGCTGAGGTATTAGGATTACAGGCATGTGCCATTGCACCTCACTCAAGATGCCTTCTTTCACTAAGCAAACTCACTCAGTCCAGGAACTGAATCAGTATAGATCAAAGCTAGTGAGTCAGATTTAAGTAGAGTATGTTCCACTTAAAATAACTCAAATATAATCATAGTGGATTGTATAACCAATTTTAGAGACTAAACAATCTTCGTACACAAAAATTAATGGATAAGATTTATTATGAAAGAGCTAGGGTCTTCCTAAGTAATTCATGTAAGAAGCATGTAGGCAGCTCTTCTGAGAACATACCAGTATGAGGGACATACAAGAGACCTTCTGTGGCCCACTGGGTCTATGTTGTAATATTGGTGTCGAGAAATTGGAAGACAGCTGACAGTTGCTATGATTCAACTTCCCATGGGTTCAAGGAAATCCAGTGTGAATGAAGACAAGATGAATCTCATCAGTTACTAAGAGCTTCGTGGTTTTATTTCCATGTTTAAATATAACCATTTCAGTAATAATATCATTTTGCTACATCTGCTACCTAATACACAAGTATTTTTCAGATATGATACTTGTCCATCATTTCAACCATTTCCAAAAAAAAAGCTTCTACAATCATCAAAAGGAAGTAACTTTTGAAGCGTTGCTTCCACATTTTTATGGTTTAATAACACTCAGTTGTGGGTCACTAAACAATGGGCATATACTCTGGAACCATGTCATTAGGTGATTTCTTTATTGTAAGAATGCTATAGAGTATACTCAGAGAGGACACTCCCACCACCCGGCAATAGAATCTTGGGCCACTAGTATATGGGTGATCCATTTTTGATCAACAAGTTCCAATGTGTATATAGGTCCCACAACATAAGACATATTGATTTAATAAAAATTACTTTTGTTGGGTTAAAAAAAGTTGATCTAAGAAACAACCAACAATTCACCACAATGGCAAATGTAAGGTGGGTGAAGTTATGAAGATCCAGAGATACATAGAAATGAAAAGTAAAACACGGATTAGCCCTGCTCACACTCAGTGTGAATGTGAGATCATAACATTTTTTAGCTAATATTAATGGCTCTTGAAATTGCAAATGAGTGTGGAATGGTCATTAGAAACACTCTCTTAGGAACTATGAGAATACTGAATGATTTAAATGTAAATGTACCAGATGGGATTGCATTAGAAAGGCACTCATTTCCTCCAAATTGTAGTTTCTCTTCCAATTTCAAATACTCTGTAACCCTGAGAGGCTATGTGTCAGACAATGTGTCCTGCTACTATGTGGTAAAATATGGGTGCTCTGGCCACAGGACCAGATGGATGGGTTGCAATGTTTTGAGAACAGGGATGCAGGTAGAAAGAAAAGGGCAGGCAGATCATCTATGCCAAATGTATGTATTGTGTGCCTATTGTGTGTTCACTCTTTAAAGTTTTAGATCATAATGGTGAATAAAATTGAAAATGTCTTTGACCTTCTGGAGCTTGCACTCTATTGGGGAGCACCAGAGCATAAAGTAGCAACTAAATAAAATCACATTAGCTGGTAGTAAATGCTGTAGAAAGAGTCGAGTAAGGATGAGGTGATTTGGGTCACAATCTGACTTCCATTTTCCAAGGCTCCTCCCTTGCTACCATTAGATTATTCCACTTATCCAGGTGAGAGATGGCTTGGATAGGACCTAACCAAAAAAAAATGGCACTAAATAATAGCTGTATTCTGATTTTGCTAATGGATCAAATCTTGCAAGTAAGTGAAAAGGAGGGGAAAGTATTGCAAGCTAGAAGACAGAGGAAACAAGGGAGCTATCCAGAGCTACTGTACTCTTAAGCCTTCTCTGGAGGACAAGTCATGAACTCTAGGACTTGATTGCCTGAGTAGCTGCCACGTGATTCTGGGTTCCTAGATACAACTGGCATGTGAATTTAAGAACATACCATGTGTCCTGACCACCCAGCTCTGCAAATCCCAGAACTCCTTACAGAGAAGCTACGAGGCTAGCCCAGTGTACATGTGTGAGACTGGCGCCTCAGTTGGGAGGTTGTATGGGCGAGGTGTGAGAGCACCATACCATACCATCTGCTGTTCCTTTTAGATAAGAGTTATCCAGAGAGAATGAGATTTGCTTAATAAGCTCCGAGAATCTGTGTGGAGAGCAGACATCATTATCCCCAAGCCTGTGTTTCATCACACACAAGTTACATAAATATTGTTTGCATTTGAGTGCTTTATTATATTGGAATTGCAATGATATTAACATTTGTACAAATGCACAAAATCTTGTCTCTTCTTGCTAGAAAGAGATGTAAAAATCTGACCCAGTTGAACAGTCTTAATGGACGCATTGTCCAATGGTAACAGTAAATGTGTTCACAATGCAACAAAAAGCTTAACATAAATTTAAACATATTAAATGCTGCAGCAAATATTTACATGTATGTACCCCCAATTTTTCTCCTTCCAATAGGAAGGTGGTTGCTTTACAAATAGACAAACAAACACAGATGCTTTGCTGTTTATACAATGACAAACAACCCCAAGTCCAGAACTTAAAGTGACAGCACCTTTTTTTGGGAGGCTTCTTCAGTCAAACCCTTACTTTACACAGTGCTAAACTTTTTTTTTTTCAATTATATTTTTGGACAATATTTATTTTACAATTGTCCTAAAACATTGCATCTGAACAGAGCCTCTTTTTTTCCTGGGCCTTTTCAGAAGGTACCCCGACCCTCTGTTCTCTTCAGGGAGGACACTTGAAGCTTTTCTCCCACACAATCTTCAAAGGCAGCCCTCCTCTCTCTGGGAGGCAGGTGGGGCTTAGTGGAGTTTTGAAGGAAAACGGAGAGCAGGTCTGGTCTACTGGCTGGTTGGTTGACAAGGGTTCTTTCTCTTAAACCCCTTGAATTTGGACTCCACTGATACCTTTCTTTGTCTCCTGCAGTGTTGGTAGCATTGGAAATTCCAAAGGAGGAAACTAGAATCTAATGAGTTTATTGTGCGGAAGATTTTAATGATGTATTTAAAGCTAATTTATTCAGAGCCCACATTCTCAGTCCTGAGGCTAAATGATTTTATCTTTAAAAAAATCCTATAAAGTTCTATAATATAAAGCTTGATGTAAGAAAACCTTAAATGGCTTAGGAAGAGCTTTCTAGATCCTGGCTTCTAATAAGCTAGACATTCTAAGTTGGTCTGAATATAGCAGTTGATAATTATTGATTCCTTTCTGGTGATAAGTTTGGAAAGGTATCAGAGTGTCACTTGAGAGTATTCATCTTTTAACAATTGCTGGCAATTTGGCTTTACCCCCTTCTTCAGCTTTGCTTAAATATTCTTTTTCTCAAAAATAGACTATTTATAAAGAAAAAAAATATAAACACTCTTTAAACAATTTGGCTACAAGCATTACATCACCGAAAAACTCCACAAGAGATAGTAAAATATTTTAAATGGATACACAACTTTTCATTTTCACAACATGATGAGCTAGGTTTTCTGCTTTTTAAATGTCCTCGTGTGTTTGTTTTGGTATTAGGTTTTATATGTAAGTTTATTGCTCCTGTGTCTTCTTATCCTTCCTTTGTTTGTAATTGTAAAATAAAGGTGCTGTCCCTAATCATAGTACAAGGCCACATTGTAGTTTTGAGACCTAGGAATAAAATTAAAGGGGCACTGGGACATCAGCAGCCTCAGAGAGACTATGGCTAGGACAACTGTCAAACTTGCACCACGGTGCACAAAAGAAGTCTCCTGGCTTATTCAGGACACTTTGGTTTGGAGAATGAGATAAAAAATTCTTAAGTAGAGCTTAGCTGCTGCCTCACATCTGTTGCATAATATAACATTTTTAACAAACATGCTATGAACAAGGGGATAAAGAGTATAAACCATATAGTGTACTGGCTCTTCTTGACATTCTTGTAGCAAGCTTCACCTAGGCTGACGTGAGCAGCACGTCTTAGCTATGCTCCTTGTGAACACACACACATGTACCTGGTGCAAATATTCTGTAAAGGATCGTAAATGATGTAGCTCAAAGCCTTACAGGAAGGACGGAGGAGCAAGAGGGGAGCAAAGGCAAGTTGAAGGACAGGGGATAGGTTAAAAAGAGAACAAGGCAAATAGAAAGGGATCAAAAAAGCTAAAGTGCAATTTTAAAATATAAATTATTTTCAAAGCAGAAAAGAGACCCTAAATGGCTATGGTACACATAGGCACGGCTTTATTCAAATTTAAACGGGTTGTTTCCTTTCCCTTCTCCAGCATACTGCATAATGGAGCGTGAATGGCTTAAAGCTACTGCGCATTACAGGGAAGGAACTAGAAGCTCGAGGAAGCTGGTAGTGCAAGGCCTTCTGGGAAACGGGGAGGGGGGTAGAATGAAGCAGAGATGGAGTTGATCTTGTGTAAGAAAGCTGTTCCAGTTATAATTATTGATTCCCTTTAGCTGAACTCTGCTTCCTAAATAAAAGAGCTTACTTTAAAATGAGAAGAAGAAATCCATGCTTAAAAAAAAAAAAAAAAAACCTGTTTAGAATGCAGATTAAAAATAACTCACAGAGCAATAAAAATCCTTGAACTGTCTCTGCACAGAGAGCTAGGCAGACATTTCCACCGGATGATGGAGAATCGCCCTCTGAGACCCTGAAAAAATGAAAGTATGCACTACTAGAGTAGTTTAATATGGACTAATATTAAAAAAAACAAGTAGAACCTACAGAAGAATACTGTTCAAATGGAATGTTTAAAAATAACATTTATTAATAAATATCTTATAAAATTCTAAATTAATAGATTCCTGTTCAAATTTTGCTTTGGTCCTTGAATTCCACTGTATACATACATACATACATATATAATTTCTTAGATGGTTTTATTAACTAGAAAGAAGCACATTCTATCCTAACTGGGTGACTTAGTTTTATAGAAATTACTGATGCTTAAAACCCCCCGGCCAAAGGCTGGTCTTTTATTGGAGCTGGTTTATGATTTTAATGACAAACTCCACTAACCCACTAAGAATTACTTAACAGACAGGCAACAACCACCTGAAAATTCACCGCTGACACCTCGCTCCCAGGGTATGCGCTCCATTTCATTTCATTGACCACACAGGCTCTGAGGAGCGTGTGCTCCTAGCAAGTCATCCTTGTCATTGTGACATATACCTGAACAGCACACACACTGCTTGCGTCCCACAAGTTGTATTCAGAGGAGGACTTGCACACGTTGATGCCGGGGTAGGAGTAGGGCGAGTAGGAGTGTGAAGGGAAAACATCTGACCTAACACCGAGTTTTGAAATTACTCTCTTCGTCCATGACCGGGATTTTTCATCATACCTGCAGCATCATGGATTGGGAAATGTGTCCAAGAGAAACAACAAAGAGGCAGACACCTCGTCTAGGTGAGGATTCTCCTGACTGCAGTGCTGTCAGGTAAACTACCTAAATTGTTGGCTCACAGCACGCAAGGCAGGGGAGGCACAGTTTGACTTCCCAGCAGGTTGGCAGTGACTTCAGAGGCAGATTCTGCCAATAAAGAAAGCCACACAGATAAAGCCACACACAGGGCTGGCTAGGAAGTGCCTGAGGGACCTTCCCTCCTAAGCACTAGGGCTTCCAAGACCATTACCGCTGGCTTGCAAAAGTATACACTGACTGGGAAAGGAGAACGGGCTCAAAGATGTTCTTCAAGATTGGCCAAAAGTGTAAGTCAAGAAATATAGGAGGTAATTTCAGGTAGATCCTGTGACGTAGACTTTTAGATGAAATCTCTAATATTGCTAGGCCAAGTGTTGGATTTGACCAAAGAATCTTCTTGTTCAGTATTTCAAGAACTGACAACCAGGTGGCACCTTTCATTTGCTGTACTTTCGTGCTGTGAATGAACACACCTACAGGCCCTGATATAACAAAAAGGTAGTTTATCCTAATTATATATGTTGAGCGTTGTTTGCTAACGTGTGTGGTTGGTTTGCCTACTTAGCATAAAAAACAGACATAACTGAGCTATAAATAATGCACATCAGTCAAACTGTCAAGTTGCTGAATTAAGAAAACTCGGGCAAGTTCTTAACTGCCAAGGTTTTCAGGTTAACAACTAAATATTTCAATCAAGAAATGAAACAGAAGTAAACTAAATCATAATTTTAGTGGCAGTTCACTCCTTGTATATTCTGATACTACTAGTGGATTTTTAAAAAAATCCCTTTCATTAAGTGCTGTGCATGCAGTAAAGAGAAATTTTTGTTTATCTAAAGCAAAACATAAAATAAAAATAAAATTAGAAAACCCAAACAACCACTTCAATTAACCTTTTTCCCCCCATTTTTGGGGTATATGGGGACACACAAGTGGTCCTAGGAATGAATTCTGAAAAAATTATTTTTGATTTCAAAACAGAGATACACATGTTAACTTCTTTTCAAAGCCAACTCTTCAGTATTTCACAGGAAGCCGATTAGGTTAAACCATTTGGTTACTGCCTGAATTAAAAAAAAAAACTTATTAATTCAGTATTTAAAATATTTGAAAATGGTATGTTTGTGTTTAATATAATAGAAAATCCTTTTGACTTTTCTTTTTTTGTTTTTTCTTCTTTTTTACATTAATTCTGATCCTTAGACCATATATCCAAGTCCTAAATTTGACTGAATACTCAAAATAATCTTTTCAAAGCACTGCATACATGGAAAGATTGTTGCTAAATACTGATTTAAAAGTAAGTTATTAGACAAAACTGAAACTAGTTATAAAAATCATGCTTCAAGGCCCCTGTATTTTTGTTTTTTCCCTCCAAAATAGATTCTTATATAGAATGTATAAGATTCTTATAGAGAAAAAAAATCCTTCCCTTTTCCAAACTCTTATAAAAGCGACCCATTTTGTAAAATACCGTTCTTTTAAAACCCATAAACACTCACACACACACACACACACACACACACACACACACACAGAGGCACCCACGTTAGGAGGTCAAGCGTTCAAATGGAGATGAAACCAGCATCTGCCTAAACTGCAAGAGAGGAACATTAGCCCCTATTATTGTGAAAATGATATTGAAATCTTAGCACAGGAGAATGGCTTGTTTCACGGAGGCACGACTGTGGTTTGGGTCCTATCTGCTTTTTATAATGGGCAAGTCCACATTAACTTGCTGAAAATATAAATCAAAATTATTCAGAAAAATGGAGTAGCCTGTGCCCCACCCAGGGGATTTCGCCAGCAGTCGAAGAGCACTGTACTGTTCTGGGGGCCCGAAGTACCCTACAGGAGCACTGGGCTTGCTTTCTCTCTTTGTTTCTCCAGGAGTCGGTCAGCTTCCACCCACCAGAACAGCAGGGCTGGCTTCATAGGCTTAAGAAAAAAAAAATAATAATAAATCTTAGGCTATTAGCAGCTGACGACTGAACAATGTAATCTGTGTAGTGAATAGAGCCCTTCTGAATTATTATATAGTACATGGATTTTCAACATTATGGACAGGCCATATAAAACCAGTTGTAACTCAAGGGTGTGATGTTATAGCCCCGCATCATAATTTGGACTTTCACAATCAGGGCTTACAAAGCTCCCTTCCCTAGTGTCTCCACAGCTGGCAATCAACAGTGCTTCACCTATAACTAAACCACCTTTTTATTTGCTCTGATTATTAAAAACATTAAATCAGGCACATTAAACATCTCCTGGTTACTATTTTGTGAAAAGCAAGCACTGAATGAACTCCAGCTGTGGGTTACAGGCAAGCGAAGCAATGGCTAGGTCTACATTTTTGAGGTTTGCTTTTCTTTTCTTTTAACATTATTTTCTTCTTCACATGCAATGCTAACGGGGGTGGGGAAGAAGATAATTCAAATGAAGAGTCAACAGGGAGCCCAAGGTATAAAGTAGGAATGGAGAGGGACACTGGACATAACAAGTGGATAAAGCGGAGGAGAGTGGTGAGATGCTTGGTGGTCATATTAGGACATTGGTGGATCTTATCATCTTTTGTAGTTAGAGGAAAAAAAAAGTTATTGGAAAGGCTGTGTGTCTATCTGGGATTCTGGTGACATCACAGCACAAACTCAACATGAGTTATGACATCATCAGATTTCCTACCCAGTTATCTTGGATCCGGCTCATGTGACATCTAGGTATGCCCCATTTTGGCTAAAAGCTGTAGTTTAACAAGATTTGTTATTTCAGGCAAAGGGTTGGACTGATAAGAATGAAACCATGGCTATATACAGAAAAGGTTCTGCTTATAAACAAGTAATTGGTACCAGAAAATTGGAGGAAAGCACCAAAGCATTTCCCAAGCTGATAGATATTAATTGCATAACTCCCTTTTTTCTTATATAACTAAGTATAAAAGACAACATTTTCCATAGTAACTATAAAAATGAAAGCCAGTCTTTGAAGGGCTGAGGAGTCTTCCAGGTCTGAGTGAATTTTTTAAAATGCCCTTAAGAGAAAGGATGCATGATATGCTACAACTCTTCTTGGAGGCAAGGTCTGACCCATGCACTTAAAGAATCGGATTCAGGTCTGTTCTGTGAGTAGTGAGCTGGCTGAGGGTGGAGCTTCCTACGACCTCACTGACCGCCGAGGAAGTGGTGATGGTGTTATGCTGGATGACTTGCTGCTGCTGCGAGCAAGCTGGGACAGGACTGGCAGGAGGACTACTCTCTGGACCTAGGAGAAAGCACACACAAGCACACACCAATGTAGCTCTTTCTTGTGTGGACTTGTAAACTCCTCAGAAAAAGGTCAGCACTAGACATTTGCTTGACATGGAAGGGTTTCACACATTTTCTTCTGGATGTTAATTTCAAAGCTTCACTTTAATCTGCAGTCACAAGGCTATGACTTTCAGGTTTATAGTTCTGAGCAAAGTCATGCTTTCTATATCAGCAGGATGATTAGATGTGTTTGGTCTTGGAATGTGATCTTTCCATCTTGTTTTTTCAGATAGCCATCCATATATCAAATGTGGAAAAATACTTACATGTGGTGGGAGAATCTGTGTTGCTCAATCTAAAAAATTATTTGAAAATAAATTGACCTTCAGCCAAGAATCACTGCTCCTCCCCCATCCCCTACTCAACTCACATTTAACTTATTGACATTCTAGAGGGTAGACATTGCCTACTGGTCCATTTTACCCACTGGTAAACTGAGAATAGGTCACTAGAGAGTAATACTTTGTGCCCAGAGGCACTGGAAATGATTCATCCAATGCCTGCTTCTCAGCCCAGGGATTTCTCAAGATGATGGATAGGCTACTGGTAATTGGCTTCCACCAGACTATTTTCTTTCTGACTGCAAAAGCAGTATTTGGTAGGATTTTTACAATATAAAATTCCAGAGAAAGTGTAGCCAGAAATTATCAGGAGGTGGTGAGCATGGTGTTGGGAAGGGGTCAAGGAAAAGAAATCCTCTTGGTAGACAAGTCTGGCATTCATTCAAGAATTCCAGTATATATGCCTGGAAGCACAATCGACACTTTACTTTTGCTCTCACAGTAAAATTCAATGCAAAATTGCTGGCTTAAAATGAGTCACACACACAACAGTGAAAATAGCCACTTACTTAAATATCCTTGTGATTCTTTCTGCATGGCTGTTATGGGGCAGTCTTTGTGTGTTAATAACAACTGTTTCAGTTGGGCTACTTCATTTTTCAACATGGAAACTTCATTCTGGAAAGAAACAAATGAAAGCCATGTTCAGGATACAAAAGAATACAAATTCAAAACCCCATACACTTTCAACAATGAAAGTGGCAAATTGTTCTGTCATCTCCCAGTGATGTTCAGCATATTATTTAAAGGGGTCATCTAAAAATTTATAGCTTGTCTTCAGTGTAGCCCTCACAGTTACAAAGGCCTTTCTGAAGAGATTAGGTTTTAACTTAAGGGCCAAACTCAAGAGTCATACCCTTTAGGTGAAGGCTGCTGTAGCAGCTTATGTAAGTGAGACTCCCCTTCCCATACTGCTGTGTGACCCTAGACAAATCATCTAACCTTGATATGCTTCACTAACCTCGTTTCTACTGTAAGGTCAGAGACAGTACAAAATTATTTGAGTTGTTCTGAGGATTAGATGAAGTAATAGATGCAAAACCCCTAGCACAATTTCTCCTACAGACTAAGCGCCTAGTGAATTTTAGGAAGGGCAGACACACTGAGGAGAATTATGAGGTAGGATCAGTGGCTTCCAAGTGCAGGAAGAACAGGCTGAAGAACCTACCCTCGGATTTTCCTAAAATGTTCCACATGTTCAAAGTGAAACACATCCCTCTGCCTGCTCCCTGTTTACTGGAATTGGAATGCCAGGGCCCACATGCTGACCCTCTACTGGCAAAAAGATGGCACCCAAGGAGACCAGAGGCAATGAAACTGAGGATAAGACTGGATTCATTTGACAAGGTTTTCTTTTTTTAACTCGTTTGAAGAATTTCAGTCTCTAATCTTCCTCTCCCATATTAAGGTGATATGGATTTTTTTTCCTTACTCAGATAAGTGCCTCAGATTTCCACTTTATATAGTAATTCACAGAAGCATGCTCACAGCTTTGTAGAACAATGTTCTTGGCACCCACTGTCTACAAATACAACTGTAGAATAGATAGGCTTACTTGAAGGTGCTTCCTCTTGATAAAAGTAACCTATAAACATCATGGTATCTAAAATAAGCAGTTTTAAAACTGTGATAAATAATACTCTCTCTGGCCAGGGTTCATTTGTGGCTGGCAGACGTTATATTTCCCATGTAGGAAATGTTAGGAAAAAAAAGGCATGCACTCAGAGAAGGCTATTTAATGTTGCTGTCATTAAGTTGAATCTACACTTGCAATATGAACTTGACTTTGCAGACTTGTATTTATCACCTGGAGAAGCAAGTATAGAGTTCGAAGAGTCACTTAAAAATGGAAACATGTATTAAAGAATCACTCTCATGTCTAAATTCACTTGGAACACTCAGTGTAGCATTGTAAGTAACTACATACTGAATAACATGAATGACAAAGTAATACAAAACTCATATTCAAATCTTTTCCCTTTCTCCTCCAAACTACAAAACAAAAAAGCCTACTTCAGAACTTAGCCTTAATGATGAATAAATCACTTAACTACACAAGAAAATTGCTCTTAAACCTGAAATTATTCATGAAGGCAAACTGTTACTCCTACTTCCCAATAAGTATGATTGATAAGGGTTCCCGTAGTGGCTCAAACTGACCCTTTTCAATTCTGGGGTGAGTGGGACAATTTTATTTATGGGACAATTTATTTTAGTTTTAGGCACTAGCTCTTTCCTCTTTAAGATTTTGCCTAAGTTCAGATAGCCTTTATTGTTTTCGCCAGTTCTTTCTCTACTTAAAAAACCATGTGTAAAAGAAAGTCACTTTTTGGCCACTGTATGAAAGAAATCTGTGGTTATAAACAAAACAGAAAAAGAAACTAAGAGCTCTCTCTCTCTTTCTCTGTCTCTCTGTTTGTCTGTCTCTGTCTCTGTCTCTGTCTCTGTCTCTGTCTCTGTCT